CGACTGCTACACCTTGACATGTCGGCGGCGGCGGCGAATCGCTGAGCGACGGACCAGACCGCAACCGCACATGCGCGACGCACAATCAACGCGGGTCGACGGCCACCAGCGATACAACAAACACGCATTATACACCAGCACATCAATATACATTTATCAAACGATTTCAAAGTTCACATCGAAAAACAACGCACATTGAAAACAATAACCTCTCAAGTCAATAATTCAACAGTAAGAACATACAAAGATGGGAACAACACATGTGCCACTAAGCTAGATGTTATCAGGAGTATATCAAATAGCACCGAGAAGTAAACTGCTGAGTCTGATTTTTGCTAGATTTTCGAATAATTCCGAATTTTGTTTTGGTTATGAAAGGAAATAGACGGGATACAAGTAAAGTGACTGTTAAAAGGCACATTCGCGAAACCGTGTATAACGGGTAAATGAGATGAGATCGCGCGAAAAACAAGAACGAAAGGAGTTTTAAGATGACGTAAGAGACTAACAAGCTAAAACAAAACGCAAATGATAAATGAGCGTGAGTAGAATATACAGATAGAAAACATCAAAAATTTCCCGCTATTGTTGCCCCGAAGTTGAGGAGGATGAAGAGGCATCTGACTGCGATTGTCCAGCGCGATTTGTGCGAAATTGCAGCCTCGGCCTCTCGTATTCGCCTAGTCCCGGCCGTTGAATAATCCTCGGCTGGGCTGTGACCATCCCCGAGTTCCTCGGTTGTACAATTAACCGTCGAACTGGCACTGCTGTTGGACCTGCTCGTACTACAGGATTCGAAGCTGACCGTACCGGCATGACAACGGTGTTGTTGGCCCCGCGACTAACAACAACATAACGCTGCTGGGGTCGATTTGTCGGCGGTGCCAGCATAGGAGGCCTAACTATGTTAGCCCTTCGGACTAGTATAGGAGAGGAATGATGAACAGACTGACCATTGAGACTAGGTGGGCGAGGAACTGATGGTGAAGTATGCAAAATGCGAACGGGGAGACGTACCGGCGAGGATTGGATAGAAGGAGGGCGCGATGAGATAATAGAGTTCTGATTTGAGATGCGCGAGATAGTGCGAACGGGAAAGCGAGCCTGAGGAGATGAATTCGTCTTGAAAGGAGATGTTGGAACAGTAACCGCAAGAGGACGAAGCGGAGGTGGCGGCATGGATGACGAAGAAGCTGAGGATGAACTAGCAGGTGAGGTGAGCACACTGCCAACAATAGTTGAGGGGCGAATGCATATAGATGGTGTTGACAGCTTTGGAGGCGACCTGTTCGGAGCAGTGACTGGTGGGGCGTCCGATTTTAGCACTGACGCAGATTTCTGGGAAACCTGTGGAGAGGATGCGGGCTGCGGTTTGACTGGCTCTTCATCCTTTTCTAACTTTGCCTGACGAACACGCTTCTTTTTTGCTTCATGATTTTGTGGTGGTGAAAGCTGTGGTGGAGACGGAGACGATGGAGTAGGACTCTTCTTTCTGCCTCTACCCTTTCTACGCTGCCCATCAGATGTAGCAGCAACAGCAGCCGCTACCCTAGCAGCAGCTCTTCGAACCGCAGATCGCGCAGCATTTTGCGCAGCTGATTTTACAGGAGACATTGGAGTAGCAGAACGTAAATTACGTGATGGAGAAGAGAGATTTGGTGAAGAAAGCGACTTAGGTGCAATGATACGGCGACCAGATACAGTTTTTCTCGGGGAGTTACTAGACTTATTATGATGGGGTACCGCTAAACGTTCAGAATGACGTGAAGGCACTACTTTTGCAGCTATCGTACTGGTAGAGGTTGAGACACGACCTTTACGCCGCGACCGTACCTCATCTAGTAGTAATCCTGCTCCATAGAAATCATCGTCAACATTTGCTGTTTCGTCGTCTGGCGCTGGTTTTTCTTCATCACCATTTGTCAGAGCTTTATTATGAGCTTTCACCCATTCCTCACGTTTTTGCTCGATCAATGCCTTGATAGAGGAACTCATAATCAACAAAATTCAATTAGAACATATAAAATATAGTTGGGGTAACAGCATACCTGTGCCTCTCGAACCTCCTCTTCAAACTCTGGTTTGTACTCCGCTTCGAGGAAATTCACCGCATATCGTTCTATCGGTTTGAGCTGTAAAAATAAACTATGCAGAAGGTGCAAATATTCATGATCCAATGAAATCTAGTAAAAAGTCCCGATGATAAACGATTCGAAAAACAGAAAAAAGGGAGAAAGATTCTATCACACCTGACTAATAAGCTCGATGTATTTCTCATCTAAAG